TTCAGCTTTCAAAAATCCTGAAATTCCAGGAGAGGTTAACCAAACCTGCTTTGATTAATTGATTGGTTGAATTTTTTTTATCCGTGTCTTTTATTAAAAGATTCAATATACTGTATTACAGCATGTGTCAATGTCTATCTCGTCTCTCCATTAACATATAAAGACAAGAAGCTTGTCCACTGATTTTCTATACCTTCCTTTACTATAAACTGTGACATAGACTTTTAACCCACTGAAAGAATGAGTGAATACGCTACCTCCAAGTTTCCCTGACTCCACAGTCCACGCTCATTCCTCTTTTTTGCCGTCGTCCAGGCTGAGCCTGCCACACAGGCAGTTGGCCAGGCCCTCCATCGGGCCCCGGCCTGCAAAGGTTGGTCAAGTCCTCGCCCAGTTCTCTGAGCACCTGGGCCTGGGCCTGCAGGTAGTGGCGCAGCTGCAAGTCGCTGGGTCGATCTTGCCGGCCACCAGGTGGCGCTGCTCCATGAGGCTCAGGCGCAGAGCGTCCTCCAAGGGGAAGACGTGCTCCACGGCGTGCGCGTTGCCACGCTAGGGGTCGCTGTCGAGCTGCGTGGTGTCTTGGAGGACTATGCCTGCTGTGTATCAGCGACAATGCCTCTGCCAGGTTCCATGTGCATCCGCCATGGACCGGTTGAAGTGGGAGCGGAGAGCTGCAGCGGGGGCTGCACGTTGAGCACGGCCTCACACTCCCCTGGTAGTTCTGGGGGACATGCAGGGTGTGCAGCCATGACAGGGGCGGCCAGGGAAAGGAAGTGAGTGTGAGCAGATGGGCAGAGAGGTCCTTGTGATGCCCCCAGATCAAGCAGTGAGCCACCATCTGGGTCCAGGCAGAGGCTGAGGGAAAGTGAAGCTGAGGTGAGGTGAGTGTCTGAGGCAAGGCAGGAAATGAAACGATCCAGAAGTGGGCAGGGCCGGAAGTAGAAGTTCCCTGGAAATGGAAGCTCCAAGAAGCAGGCAAGTGGGAAATGGTATATATGTGATTTACCAAAGTTATGTTGAGGAGTCTTGAGTCTGTTTTTCCAAGGGATGTGTCTTTAGTTTGCTTTTCTCGTACTTTTTGTAAAGACAAGGCTGGTCTTAACAGAATTAAGTTGGGAAGTATTTCATTCTCTAAGACTGCATAGAATTGGTGATTTTCTTTCACGATTTGGCACAATTCACCAGTGCAATAACGTGGGTTTGGAGATTTCCTGTTCAGGGTCTTAACTACATTGCATTAGTGACAAGGCTCTTAATGCTGTCTACTTCATATTAGGTGAGTATGGTAGTTTATGGCATTTAAACAACTGATCCATCTGACCAGAGGTGCTTGAATTTATGTGGATGCAATTGGTCAGAGTATTTTTTAATGGGCCTTTTAATGTCTTAGAGTTATGTAGTGATATCTCGTCTTATGTAGATATATCACGCAATTTATGTCTTTCTTGGCCTTTCTCTAAATAGGCCTATCAATTTAATTTTTCAAAGAATCTTTTTTATGTTTCATTGATTTTTCCATTTTTCAATCCTATTGATTTATGGCCTTATGTCTATTATTTGAATTCTTATTCTTGCTGTGAGTATATTTTGCTCCTTTGTTTTTGGTTTTTAAAGGTGCAAGTTTGGTTATTGATTTGAAACCTTTTTCCTAATATGGGCATTTAATACTGTAAATTCCATCTCAGCACTGCATAAGCTACAATGCACAAATTTTTAAATATATTTTCATTTTAATTCAGTTAAGAAATTTTTGAAAAAATTTTTTTCTTTATTTTTAACATAAATGAATGAAAATATACTAACAAACACATAGACATAAAGTGACACAAAATCTTCCACACTTGTACAAAAACAATAAAACAATAGAGAATTTCACATAAGGCAATAGGAAAGTAACACTGGTTATTGTTTATATATTGTTATCTTCAAGTTGGTTACTCAGTTAAATGAATATAGGCATGTAAGACTGATCCACCAATTTTAAACATTAACTGTTCCTTTCCATAAAGCAATAAAAATTAACA